TGGAGATCATCATGTAGTTACAAGAAAACGCCTGAAAAAATTTAGGCTTGCGAGGATTGGAACCCTGAGCTCTGTGATGCTGTTCACCATTCACTTCACTTAAGTCTTTCATGGGTATACCATGAACCAATTTAATGACCAGCTCTCAGATGGCTTGCTACAACCAGATGCAAAAATGTTGAGACACTCCCACGAAAAAACGACCTTTCTTGCTTCAAATCGCTCCTGGTCACAGGTCTGTGAGATATAATACTGACCTCCCTCCTCCCTCCCATTCAAAGTTGTTCCTCCAAGTTTTGAGTATGGTCTTGTATTGCTAGCAACTTTGATAAGGGGTGGAGGGGGGATCACAAGCACAAGATCATGGACAGGCCATTTATGCCAAAATACGGTACAGTGTCTCAAGTACTTTTGCAACTGGTTGTACCTCAACAAAAAGAAATATTGGCTAGAGCACTGCACTGGTATCCCAGTTGTCAGGGCTTGAATCCAGGAAAGCCTAAATCTTTTCAAGCTCTCTTTTTGCAACTGCATAAGCTGCGTCTTTAACTGCAGTGATCTTCTCTACATTTAATGGTGACACAGTTCCCAAAGTATCACATTCTGGTGTTTTTTTTCTCACCTTCCCTGGTCTGGTAAACATGTTTCCATCATCATCTGGTCCATCTTCAACCTGAGCCTGTCGGTAAAGAAATATGATAATAGTACCAGTAAATAAACTGTACAATAATAATAATGCAAGTAATACTAATAAATTCAGATACACCATTAATGGATAAGTGATAAATAAAATTAGCAAAACTAGGAAAGTAAACAAGTGATCTATTTCTGCTAATGAATATTTTACAAAGATTTAACTGTACCAGTTTCTACTTGAGAAAACAAGAGTTGTATTTATACCAAAGTCAAAGTAGATTCTTGTCATTGCTACTGGCCACCATGGGCCAAAAAAGAGGAGAGGTAAAAGGCAGCTGTAATCCCATGTTAAAGCTAAAATTAAGCAGTGTTTTGGTATTGTTAATTGCAATGGGAGATGCAAGATGAAAGCATACCTGGTGATTATACTTTAATAATAATAATAATAATAATAATAATAATAATAATAATAATAATAATAATAATAATAATAATAATCATAAAAGCTATATTTATACCAGAGATATATATCAACATTATACGATGCTGGTCTTAACAAGACGTCCAGTAAATAACATTTATAATAATATTATTCTAAATTACATTTCAAAGATGCTTAAAACTGCTAAGGTAAGACTACTAAAAACTGTTAATTTAAGAACTACTAAAAACTAATTAAAAACATAAGAACCACTAAAACTATTTAAAAACACACAAAAAAATCCAACTAGTACCACTGTACATTCATGATTACTAATGTCACTGTCTCTCAGTTGTTTAAAAAAATAAATTTAAAAGAGCCTATACTAGTTGTTTTCCTAAGTTTTGTAGGGAGTGAGTTCCAGTCACTCGCACCAGCAATTTGGAAAGTCTTTCTTCCTGAAGAAGTCTCAGATTATGATACGTTGAGAGTGTGTTGGTTCCGCAGATTTCTGCTTTGGGGCTCAGCCCTACTGGTTATGTAACCCTCTAGTTTCTTAAGGCAGTTTTGGTTGTTTACAATCTTCAAAATAAAAACAAATTTGAGGAATCGTCTCCTATTGTACAGTGTTAACAGCCCTAGAGTGTTCCTCACATATTGTGTGCAGGTGGTTCTGTTGGCCCTCAACAACTTTGGGTAACAAGTGCCATGTGCACTGTTAATTTTCTAGCAAACATGTCCAGCCAACAAACCTTCTTCTACACACAAATTAGAACATCCTTTTTACAAGACATATGTATCTCACAAACCCTTGCAAAATGTGGGTTGTTTACCATTTACAAAATGTTTTCAGAAAATCTGGTTGGACAGTAAAAGGAACAGGACTTTTAGGGTCATTCTGGCGGAAATTTTAAGGGAGCAATGACATTTCTGAAAATGTAGTCCAGTTTTTCTAGACAAAAAATTAACAATTAATGAATGAGGCTGAGTAACTTTTGAAGAATCATGGAGATCAAGGAGGGTGTTATCCATTGAGGCCGTAGGCCAAGGCGCATTTATACCCTCCGAGATGTCCATAATTCTTCATAAGATATGAAAGCTGAATTCAATAATTGTTTTATTATTCATTCAAAATAATTCCTAGTTTAAAAACATAGCTAAAATATGCTTACCTCCATCGATGTTAAGTTCATCTCTGATAGTGCACGTTCACGGTTGTTCAGCTCCGCAAATACAGTAAAAGGAACAGCAGAATAGCAGATGTCGCCGTTCAAGCTGCCTTCTTGCTGTTCTTGCCAAGTTTTTAGCTATTATTTCGCCTAGTTCTTACTCTTAAAACGAGTGAAATGTCCTCCATTTTTGTTTCCACAACCAAAACAACTCAACCTAGTCCCACGGTCTTCTCGGTTAACGGTGTATTAACCTGCAAGGAAGCTTCACTATTGATGTCATTCTTCCAAATTTGGTCATCAGTAGCTGGATATGGTGAATTATGCGTGTGCTTCTAGCCAATCGGAATCGGGGAAATATTTTGAATGAATAATAACATCTTTTAATAAATTAAGCATCCAAGCCAGAAAGGGGTTGTTTATACAAATGAGTAATGCATCATTACCTCGGCAGCTATAGTTTTCATTTCATCTTCTGTGTATGCCACATTCACAAGATGGCGATATGCTAATTGGTCCATAGAATGGCAGGCTGCACAGACTTGTCTGTAAACTTCATAGCCTCGACGAATGCTTCAAGGAAAATGGCAAATTTTAGAATCAATCAAGAACATGAATCTTGAAGAGGTGTGTAGAATAACCCGGGGCGACACTTGATGAAGCATCAAATTCTCCTTTTTTTCACAAGAAAATAAAAGGCAATTCAAAACAAGAATGGAAGCTGGCAAATTATCAAAAGTTGATGAGGGCTAAGCACTTGCAGGATGATTCAAACTATGTTTAATCTTGATCTCCTGGACAATTTTCACCAAAACTGCATGTTTTGTCCAATGTTCCAAATTTTCTTTAACAAAAAAATAACAACAACAATAACAACAAAAAAACAGACAATCAGGATTTTCACTGCTATTAGTAAGGAAATTAACCATTAGAATATGATAGCATGGGATTACTTACGCCGCATGATCCAGTGAACTAAATGCACCCTTATGAGCCCAGGGAAAATGCGGAGGATGGAGTTCCAGCTCATTAGCATTAACACTTGGCTGAAGTAAGTATCCTGTTGCAAGACCTCCTGCAGCAACCATGCCAAGTGCAAACCACATCTGTCAGAGAAAGTATAGACAAATCTTCACTGACACCACTGTTTATGTTTTGCTTCTTCAGGTCCCAGTTTTTACAGAAATGTTATAGTGCTAAAAATAAATGGACAATAATTCTTCCCCTCCCCAGTGATAGTAAAATATAACATGGAAAAAAGCCTCAAGATAACGAAACGTTGTTATAGCCTTTCATCACATCAAGGTTCCCCTGTGCTGGTTTGCACAGGGTTTGTACAGATCGTTGGATCCAATATTCAAGACTTTTTCCAGATTTTACTCCAAAACAATAATTTCTTTTTCAGACTCAAGGTTATCAAATAGATCATCAATAGAGACATAAAAAAATGCAGGAAGAAAGCTTTTCGCATGGTGTGCTGCAAACACATGGGCGAGATTGAATAAGGTTTGACCAAAATGGAAAACATTTCACTTCTAAAGCACTTGTAGCTTTAAAATAAACTCAAGACTTTTTACCATTTTTCCAGACTTTATCCTCTGGGAGTTTTAAATTTAGATATGAGATATAAGAGTAGTTAAGAACTTATCCAGTATCCCTGCACACTCCTAAATCATATTTCAGTATCCCTAAACAGGGAACTTACTATCACCAAAGGAGGAAAACTAAGCCTTCATCATAATGACTAAATCTAAAGCTCACTCCTTGAACATATTGAATATTTCATTGCTAGAACAAAATTTGTTTAGTAGACTTGACTCAATGAAAAAAGGGTGAAAAATTATTCGAAAAGATACCCTTTTCACACCTGTTCATCCAAAATATAAGCTTTGTATTCTTATAAAAAGTTTCTTTGGACAATTATCTTTATGAAAATTGAAAGGAAATAAATGGAACTAAAGAAATAAGCCAAAAAACTCACACTTCGGTTACTCTTTGCTCCCTCTGCTGTTGCCGTAGTGGCTAGCCTGGTCTGGGTCTAAATTAGTGATTAAGAAACATACAGTAAGCCATCCTCTTTTCCTCTAGGAGGGATGTTAAATTGGTAGACTGGAAACTTTCATTATGCAAATCATGGCTATCAGTAACACACATTAATTTATCTGAAGGAAAAAAAAAGGTCATATATAAAAGCGCACAGTATGTTTTTTTTTCTCTAAGTAAATTTGAACAAAGTGAATAGATATGTTACAGGCACAAACGCTGACAAACGTTTCCAGTTTGACATAGATATTTCTGAAAAATTTCTTTCAAACTATTGCCTATGGTTGTCTGTACCTTAGAGAGTGAAGGTCAGTTTTTCATCAGACAGGGATTGTTCATAACGCTAGTGTATTAACACAAAAACCAATCATCTGCCGCCACTAGACAGTTCAGATGCGTCTCGAACGGTTTAACAAATGTATACATGGTGTACACCACACATTATAAATCTTAGCAACAAATCGGTATTCGAACTCGATTACTCCGACTGGAAGTCATATTATGACATCTATACATAAAGAAAACAGCTTTAACTCTAAAATCAACCTGTTTTTACCTTAAAAACATCTTGTAGTCGCTTTGAAATATCCCGAAGCCGGCTGAACCTGTACGCCATCTTGAATACGGCAATATTGCATAACAGTATTGCGCATGGCAGAACAAGGAAAATTTGTAGCCTCGCCTCACCAAGTAGCCTCGCAATCTATGGAACCGGGAGCGCTCTCAAAGAACTGGAAATGAGCTCAATCAAAGATGGCAGATAAATTTTAGGTGTTTTTGCGGGTAAGAAATGAATAAGTATATGCGGAGATTTTCTTCAAAATGTTGACTTATTTTGCTATTCAGATTGTATTGCGTTGAATTCAGAGTTCTGTTTGATTTCTAACCTACTTTTAGGTGTAAATTGTGATGCATTTTTATAAAGCTTTCGTCACGTTCGAAGCAGCGCTAGCGCTGTCAAATATTTCACTATTTCACTAAACAAGTTCTTTAAAGGTGTGCTGTGTTATGAAAAGGTTCTGCGATCAAGCAGCACATAACTCTGTCTTATTTTTATTTCAGGTTAATACTTAAGAATGGGCCTCTTGTCAGATGTTCATCAGCGCAAGAAAGTGGTGGATATTTTAGTCAAACATTGCTCAAAATTATGGTACCAACATTAGAAATAACTTTTGTAAATTTAATTGTAAAAACAATTCGGTTGTAAGTGTGGGTGCAACAACAAGGGGGAAGTGAAACATACTCTAAAATATTAGGGTTGTTCCATTTACTATTTACTCCCCCCCCCCCCCCCCCAACTCCATCCCCCAATGATGACATTTTCTGAAGGGGTATTAAAAAATTGGAATTTCTGAAGGTGTTTAGGGATGAATGCATGTCAGGTACATTTTCTGAGGGGATATATGTTCATTGGTGCATTTTTTAGCACTTTGGGAATGAACAATCATACTTGTAAACAGAGGATATTACATGGCCGCACGGAAATTTGAAATTTCTCTTCAAGTGTTGAAGAGAAATTTCGTATCTCCAAGCGGCCATGTAATGTTCTATTTATTATATAAACACCAATGAAATACCAAACCATTTCACTTTAATAGTTTTTTGGTGTGAAAGGCGCAATTTATTATGTAGCCACAGCAAAGGTGGTATTTTCACATGTGAAGATAACATGTTATTTTCACATGTGAAGATATCAAGTTTTCTCACGAAAGCTCACTTGGTATTTCATTGGTGTTTCATTGGTGTTTATATAAACCTCTTTTTCATGAGCCCCACCCACATCTAACTACTGGTCTTTGCCTAATGGCGCATTCACTCCTTAGAATTCCTCTGATTTAAATCTTACTCACCAAGTTTTATCCTTAATGGTTCTTTTACAGTATTCTTAGCTATCTTGCTGGAATAATCTGGCTGTGTGCTCTGTCAGATCGTGCATTCAATGACCGAGTTTATTTTTCTGAAAATGCTTTGTTGCCTGGACTGGTTGAAGCTGAATTCAAGAGTCACAGACTTGCTTCTGAATTGTTCAAAAAACTTTCTACATTACCTGAAGGGGACATGAGGTTTGTCTGTTTTCTTAGCAACATTTTTGTGGCCACTCAATAAAACAAAGAAACTGCAGATTTATGTAGTTATCATTCAGGTGTTTACTGTTCAGCAATATAATTAGGGAGTTTATGCAACGATGATGGCGATGGCTAAGAAAACGTCACTTAAAAAGTGAATTTGCGTTGCCTCAAACTTAATCGTGCTTATTGCATCTCGTTTAATTCGTCAAATGTTGGTAAATTTTTTTTGGAGTTGAATTCTAAAGGACTGCATCAAAGTTCGAGAAAAAAAAAAGAAATTCTTGTCTTTTGTTCCTGTCCTCGACAAAACAAGAAATTAGGCAGTTTCATGTTGTAGCCGTGCAACGATGGCAGAGAAATGTACAAAAAGTGTGATTCACGAGCAAAGTTGTTGTTTTGCTTGTCTAAACCTTTTTTTTTTTTCATTTTTGTTGCCGTCCCCATTGTCGTTGCACAAACTCCCTGATTGTTTTAACGGAAATAAAGTCGTGGTAGATCTTTAAACCCTTACCCTGTTTAAGACAAAAATAATTTTTGTCTTTTCATTTCATCACCTTTTTTGACAAGATTTCATAATTTAATGATCCTGATTCTTGCCAAAAAAAAATAAGTAAAAAAATAAATTGTCGGTACCGCTCATGTAGACCCCTTATCACCAACCTTCACACTCTTTTAACCGTTAAGTCCCAAGAGTGACAAACATCAATTTTCTCGTTACAATATTAATGCACAATCAAGAGAATAGGTTGTGAGAATTAACAAAATAAACACCTGAGGGAAATTGCTTTGATCTTTTATCAAATTCTCTCGACTTATTCCTTATAGAAATGCATAGAGACCCGTTTGGAGAATTTGTATGTAAATAGTGGGGCTTAGAAGGGTTAAAGGATGCCGTCCAAAAAGACACCCTGTTCAAGATGCTAAATACTAGAAAATTGTGTACCTTGTTGCAAGATCCTTAAAACCCTATTGTTAATTCTCATAAATTTGTCATTTTTGAACACTGTTATTCAAAATATTTTCAGCAAAGCTGCATCAGAGATGATTGCAAATGTGATGGAAAACAGCGGCCTGCAGACATACCACCAGAATTTTACAGTTCACATGCCCTTTGCTGGAATAGTGGAGCCTCATACATCAATGGGTGTTAATATTTATGGCATTCTTAGAGCTCCCAGAATAGCAGGAACTGAGGCTGTGGTAATTAGTGTTCCTTATGATCAAGGAAACAATAAAGGGGCATTGGCTTTAATGTTGGCATTTGCTGACCATTGCCGAGGTAAGTTCAAAATTTCTCTGTACCTGTCATGACTTCACACAGCTTTAAATCTTCATTGGACTAATAAATTTTAGGAGACGATAGTTATTGCACGAGGTTGAGAAAAATATCGTGATTTGTCTGTGGTGAGCTGATCAATTATTTGCCAAAGCTGATGGCTGAGGCAGATAATTGATCTATGAGACACTGACAAATCATGATATTTTGTGATTGCCGAGTAGTTCAATAATCATTTGATCACCAAGTCTGTTTTTTAATGAATATCTTTGGGAAGCAAATCAATCTACCATTGTCACGCAAGAGCAATCACAAGCAGGAGAAAAGTGTGGTTTCATTTACACACGAGCAGAATATTATTTGCAGTGAAACACAGTAGGACGACATTGCCCATGAGCGGACCATTATTTGTAGGCAGTCATTTGAAGGTCACATGATGGGCCCTTGGCCAATGAAAAGGATTAAAAATTTGCATCAAATTATAATACTGATTGTTCTCCAGTTTTTTTTGGCCACATCACAGCAACTGTACTGTCAGTAGCACTTGGCAATGAAACAGATGTTTCCAACCATTTTTTCACCTGTGTATGTGTCGTTTGTCAACTGATTTGGTATAGACTGCAAGTGGTTGACGTTCTTTCCTCAAAGCCACATCTTTCCTCAGAGCCATGTCTCAAACAAAAAATGAGAGACTGCTTGCTGTCTAGATTTGGTACAGTACTGAGATTCAAAAGCGTTTGACTCTCATGGTTTTAATAGCCAACGTGTTTTCAATTAACTCACTTGACAAAGCCTTTTTTTTTTCGTTTTAACCCCTGTCAATGCAGCACCTCAGTTTAGAAAATAATTTTTTTAGCTTGACCTGAATAAGAATTATTGTGGCTCAACTAACAAGCAATTTCATCTCTGAGCCATTTTGTAAAATGAGTTCCAACCTGTTGCATGTGGAACAAGAAAGGTATTTACACTGTCTGTTCTGTCTTTATATGTCAACAATTAGGCTGCAATGAACCTGCTTAGTATTGTAAATAGTGTATAGTAACCATCTGCAATATTATTTTGTTGAAATTTATTTCTAGCAATAGCCTTATCAAAAATACTATTGAGGGTTGTATTGCAGTTTTGTTTAATACTATCTTAACTTCAATGAAATAGGTTAGTAACCAGGGCTTGCCTATATTTTTAACCCTGAAGTCCCAAGAGTGACCAACATCAACTTTCTCCTAACGACACCCATATATTGTCAAGAGATTAGGTTATGAGAATTAATAAAATGATCACCAAAGGGGAAATGTTTGATCTTTTATCAAATAACTCATTCTGTAAGGAAATGTAAGGAGATCAGTTTGGAGAATTTGTATGTGGATATGAGGATGAGGATTTGTTTGTGGCTTAAAGGGTTAAGGCAAGGTCACTTGATTAAAAGTAGTTTTTGTTTTCATCATTTCAAGCCTGTCTTACTCTTCACTGATCATATTCCAGGAAAAAGCTACTGGTCCAAAGACATCATATTTCTAGTAACAGATAAAGATCAGTTGGGGATGCAGGCGTGGCTCGATGCTTATCATGGCATCTCAAACTCTTGTAAGTAGCCTAACTGAAGCCTATCATCTTAGGTTCTCCAGAAAATGTAGAGTAGAGGGAGAAAAAATTATTGTAGGCCAAAAAAGATTAGATCAAAAGGAGCAGAAAGCCGTTCACATGGGTTAGCATATGTGGGGTTAGGTGTGGTTGGGGTTTTCCCGCCCACCCCTAGAGATGTTTTTATTTTAGGGGCTCTGAAAATTGCATTTCAGTCTGTTTAAGCAGTCATTTAATGAAATTCAGCCATGTATAGAGGTGGTGTTTTTTTTTTTCACCAATGTTTGCCCTATTTTTTATGATATAATGTTTGTTTCTATTTGAAGAAAAGTGTTGAGAAACAAATACCACAAATTTATTCCCCTTTAGAAAAAATATTTTGTTTGAGCACCCAGCTCTTCTGTCTCAGCTGTATGGCAATTTTTGCCAGCTGCTGGAGCTTCAGGAAACTCTGATCATCTTTTAGAGAACGTCAGACCCTTGGCTATGCAAACCGAAATACTATGTGAAATAATGAGTAGAGTGGGCCTATGTATTTCCCACAGATATCTCTTCAGCTCCTCTGGAAGGACACTCTGGCTCTATTCAGGCAGCACTTAATTTGGAATTTGCTGATGAAAAAGTTAATTTTTTTGAGATTGCCATTGAAGGGATTAATGGACAGCTTCCCAACCTTGACTTGGTAAACACTGTATTCAGGTTGTGCCGTAAGGAGCGTATCCCAGCCGCTTTACACACAGAGGTAAATAACTTTACCTAAATAAACACATTTTTTAAGCTCTAATTTAGTCTGGGACCAGGTTCCTTTTTGGGTATAAAAGGAAGAAAAATTAGTGGGTCTAGTCCATTGTATATAATTGTATTAATACTGTATTTTGTGAGTAATAATATCTATTTCTAATAATAATGTATTTGCATAACTTGTTGCCAGGGATATCATGAACACTTAGGGGCTTGGGGAGACTCTGTACAGTCCCTTGTTGCCATGGTGATGATGATGTTCTACCAAGCTTCTGGAAGGCCATCCGGCAATCATGGGTTATATCACAGATATCGCATTGAAGCTCTTACAATGAGGGGCAGGGGTGAAAATTGGGAATACGGACGTGGATTCCTGGAGACAGGAAAGTATGTACATGTTATTAATAATTATTATTATTGTTTTATCATTCATTCACGGTTGTCAAAAGTAGCTGGCTGCTGGCGAAAATCATCGCCTACTTGGTTAGTATTGGTTGGCTACTCTGCTTGGCATTTCTTTACAGATGGCGCTTTTGACATAAAATATCCCTGGACTGGCCACTTACTTTGACAACTCAGCCATCTACTTCAAAACTTTCTGACAACCCTGTTCATTCAAAATAGTTTCTAGTTGAAAACAAGCTAAAACATGCTTACCTCCATTGACGTTAAGTTCATCTTTGATAGTGCACGTTTATTGGCAAGTTTAGGAGATAAAGGGTTCTTCAGTTCTGCAAATATTCTCCAAATAGCAATGTTGTCCATCAAGTTGTCTTCTTGTTGTTTATTTTGTGTTTTTAGCCAAACATTTGCCGATTTCTTCCTTGTGAATCAAGTAAAAAAAGTTCCACCATTTTGTATCACTCAAACAACTGAACCTTGTCTTGAGGTTCTTGTTTAACGGTTTTGATATCAATAATCTGGCAATTTTGCTGCATGATTGATGTCATTAGTTCAAAATCACAAAATTCCTCCAAATTTTGTCAACAGTAGTTGGTTATGATGAATTATGTGTTTGATTTTAGCCAAACAGAAACAGAGACAACTTTGGAATGAATAATAATTAGCAATTAGTATCACCTGAAGAATTATTTTGGAGATCAAGGGGAGTGTTGCACTCAATACCAAAAACAAGTCCAACTCGTCTCCGGGTCTTCCTGGATAATGGTTCAACAATCTGTCAATTTTGCTGCACGATTGATGTCATCAGGTCAATATCACAAAATTCTTCCAAATTTGGTCAACAATAACTAGTTATGATGATTTATGCATGGGATTTTAGCCAATTAGAAATGAGGAAATATTTGAATGAATGATAGATACTACAGTACCGCTCAAAAGTAAGTCACCACCCTCTCGTGAGGCGTCATAAACAAGTGCAGTGTCTAAAGCCAAAAACTAAACAGTGTGCTGATGAAAAGCTAAAAAAAAGCTTCTTGAAAGAAACTTAACGCCAAATCTAACACCTGTTTTCCTCAGTCTTCGAGTTAACGCTAAACAAAATAATTTATGCCAAAAATTACCGCTTCAATGATTCTCTTGCTATGCAATTCTCGTAGTTCGCAACGAGAATCAGATAGCGCATGACATGATTCTCATTGCGCAGGAAACAAGACACGACTGGTAACTTACTTTTGAGCGGTACTGTATTATGAACTTGTTTGTTTTAAAGTTGTAGACTGAAGTGATTTGTAGACTGTCCAATCTCTTCGGTGTGTAAGATTGGGATATTTTTCAATCACAGATGAATCATGTGAGTGGCAAAGTCGCTAGCCGCGAGGGGGGTATGGGGGCATGCATGCTACCCCAGAAAATTTGAAATTTTGATGCTCTGAAACGCCATTTGTAGTGTTCTGAGGAGACAATTTCTTTCTATATCTTTTCTAAATGCTTATTTATGTTTACTGGGTTTGCATACAAGTACTCGGTCTTATTTTATATTTCACGCGGTTTTTTTAAAGTTTTCTGGATATCAGTTTCAATTAAGTATACTCTGTTAGGTGTTCTTGTATAAGTATCAAAGGAATTCATTCAAAATATGAGAACAGAAGTCAAAATCGCGATTTTTCCTATCCCAATTGCATATTGATTGGGATTCAGTATTCTCAAGCAAAATTGGGAGAATCCCGGGGAGATCGGGATGGTTGGACTGTCTGGACTAGACTCTTCTCAGTAAACACTGGATATCTTATTTTTCCCATTCCACTGATCATGCTGACAAAAGATAACGGTTTCTTTTTTTGTTGCTAACTAGTTATAGTCATCATTTTTCTTACAAACCTTATTTCTACGATGTGCTCATTTTAATCCCTCCTTCCATCAGCAGGGCTGTGCTCTAACAGTACCCCATATCACCTGGTGCCTAACTAACTTCTGCTCTTGTGTGACTGGGAAATTTTAGTTTTTTTCATATCAATCATATGCTGGGCAGACTGGCTTTCACGGGTTTAGAGCACCAGGCAGCCAGCTCCCTTCTTCTTCTTCTTATTATTTGGCCTTGGTCATTGTAGTATAGACCACTTCCCTTTTCATTGATATTGAAAACTGTAAAAAATCAATCTTAACTCAATACAACTTGGTAATGAACTCCGAAATCTGACATCCGCCTCTGAACTCCGAAGTCAAGCATTGAACTTCAGACATCGGCAATCGGATATAGAAAATCAGACATGAGACATTGGATGTCGGACATTGGACATCAGACTTCAAACATTGGACATTGAAAATCTGACATCAGACATTAAACACTTGACATCGAAAATCAGACATCAGACATCCGACATCAAAAATTAGACATTGAACATCAGACATCAAGTCTAATATCAGACATCTGATTTCATGTGTCTGACTTCATGTGTCTGATTTCAGGTGTTTGATATCAGACATCTGATGTCAGGTTCTGTTATCAGACGTCTGATGTCAGGTGTCTGATGTCAGGTGTCTGTTGTCAAACGTCTAATTTCAGACGTCTCATTTTAGATGTCTGTTGTCAGACGTCTGATTTCATGTGTCTGATTTGAGACGTCTGACTTCAGGTGTTTGATATCAGACATCTGATGTCAGGTTCTGTTATCAGGCATCTGATGTCAGGTGTCTGTTGTCAAACATCTAATTTCAGTCGTCTGATATGAGACATCTGATGTCAGACGTCTGATTTCAGATGTGTGACGTGAGGTGTTTGATATCAGACGTCTGATGTCGGGTTCTGTTATCAGACGTCTGATTTCAGGTGTCTGTTCTAAGGCATCTGATGTCAGGTGTCTGATGTCAGACGTCTGATATCAGACGTCAGACAACTGATCTCTGATGTCAGGCGTCTGATGTTTGTTGTCTGATGTCTGACGTTTATTCTCTAATGTCTGATGTCAGACATGTGATATTCGTTGTCTGATGTCAGATGTCTGATGTTTGGTGTCGGATGTCAGATCTCTCATATCAGACGTCTGATGTCTGATGTCTGTTGTTTTTTTTTCTAATGTCAGACATCTGATTTCAGATGTCAGAAATCTAATGTCAGACGCCTGATGTTTGTTGTCTTATGTCAGACGTCTGATGCTTGTCTGATCTCAGACGTCTGATGTCAGATACCTGATCTAAGACGTCAGATTTGGGATGTCTGATGTCAGACGTCTTATTTCTAATGTTTAATGTCTAATGTCAGCTGTCTAATATCAGACGTCTGATGTCTGACGTGTGATGTAAGACGTGTGATGTCATTTGCCTGATTTCTGATGTCTGATGTCAGAAGTCTGATGTCTAATGTCTAACGTCTGATGTCTCATGTTTGTTGTCCGATGTCGGATGGGTGATGTCCGATGTCCGATGTCTGATGAATTTTGTCAAAGATAAAATCCTCATACCGATGTTGTTTACCGATATTGTAGAGTCAAACTTCTTTAATACGGACACCAAAGGGACAGAACCAAGTGTCCGCTTTACAGAGGTGTCCATATTATAGAGTTGTCCGTAAGGAGAGGTTAGACTGTATTCTTTCGTCATACCTTTGAAACGAAAAAAAGCATTGAAATAAATGAGTTGTTTGTGACAGGAAAGACTTCGGATCATGTTTGAAGATAATTCAATAAGGCATTTATGTTACGGAACCGAATGCAAAAAGGCAGAAGTAGTTGCATGGGGATGACCCCCTACCATCCACAAAACAGAGATACTGAGTAACTCTTAAAAGCAATGTGATGACGACTTCTCTAATTTTTTGCGAGGAAGTTTTCTACAACATAGGGGTAAAAAATGTCCATTTTTTACTGATAAAGGCTAAACTTTAACCAAACCTCATTCGCCAGCGTGACATGTACACCTGCATGTACTATGTTGTTGGCTATATGGGGATAAAGTTCTTCGAGAGCTAGCTCATTAAAAGCTACTGATCAGTACTTGTGACGCTTATTGTGCTGTACATGGTGGTTCATAATTAATTCTGTGATAAAGTCCTGGAGTTTGACCATTCAAATCTCTTCTGAGCAGTACTTTCCTGTAGTTCTGTTTATTCTGTACAAGCTGGTTCTAACTTTTGAGTCCGTTGATGAAATCCTAAAGTTTGACCGATCTAAGCAACACTGTTTTCGGTATTATTTTTCATTCAAAAAATTTCTCCGTTTCTGATTGGCTCAAATCCTGCCCCTAATTCTTCGTAACTAACCAACGTTGATAAAATTTGAATGTGATATGTCTTTAGCGAGCTAAGATGTGCCGGAAAGTCGCGAAAATCTACAGACGTTGGTGTTTGTGCCACCCACCATACAAACGTCTGTAAAATTTCGCGACTTTGAGGAGCTATATCTTTATTAGTTTTCAACAAATCAATTTCAAACTTGGCTATTTTACTAGTTTTAAGGCTCCCTTTTCGGTGGTGTCGACGAATTTTCTAGAACTTGTCCATGTCAAAAGTTGAAAAAAAAAAAAAAAGATCCGTCAAAAGGTCTGTTGTTGAAAACACTTGACACTTGACGACACTGGTATTTTTTATTTTTGTTCAAATCTTTCAAAACCTTATTCAGAGAACAGAAAGTTGGCAACTTGAACTTGTCGAATCAAACTTTTTAATCAAAGTAAACATTAGTTTTTGATCAGAAGGTTTGCTGAAAATGATTGATCGGGCAGTGTCATCGGACATCAAACATCGGATATCGGAAGTCAGACATCAGACATCGGACATCAAACATCGGACATCCAAAATCAGACATCGGACATCAAACATTAAAGATCATACGTCAGACATCAGACATCGGACATTAGACATCTTACATCGGACATCGGACATCGAACATGGTAATCAAAAATCAAACATCGAATATCAGACATCGAATTTAAGACATCGGATATGGGACATCAAACATCAGACACTGGACATCGGACTTTAAACATCAGGCATCGGACATCGGCCATAAGACTTCAGTTATCAGACATCGAAGATCAAAGAGAAACTCGAAACTTCAAAAAAGAATGTACGTGCTCATTAACGTTTTTGCCACCCAGCAATTTCGTAGATTTCGATGGCTTACAAGGAGATGAAAATTGCACAAAACTCTCAAATAGACCAACACTTTTAACTTTTGAACAAATTTAATGCACTGTCATCCTCATATCAAACATCTTACAAGTTTGTGTGTAAAAAGTAATAAGTGTTATTATTGTTTTTTCCTAATTTTTTGTCCTTTATCTTTCACATAGGGTCATTGAAGGAATTTTCCGCAGTTTGAACAACTTATTGGAGCAGTTCCATCAATCATTCTTCTTCTATCTCCTTCCTGAGTCTCATAGATACGTGTCTATAGGTCTATACATGCCTCCATTTGGTTGTCTTCTATTGGGCCCTGTTATCATGGCAATAACTCTCTGGACTTTAGCAGGGACTGGACCAGAACATGAACCAAAGGCAGACACCCCACAAGTGGGTGGGGCGACTGAGGAGGGATCTGAGCAAGGAGACACCGGGGTAGAAAGCGCTGAGGAAAAAAGTGAACCTTATGAAGCAGAGAAGGTTGAGGTGGAGGATAAGGTTTGTTTACACCTTTTAGCTCCAATATCCAGATCCAAATTCTCTATACCGAACTCTATAATTTCTTTGAAGAACTAGTTGAGTTGAGAATTTGTTCAAAGATCAAAGCATTTTCACTTAGGTGATCACTTTTTCAATTCTCATTACCTTTTCCATGGATTATGCATTGACATTGTTAGGATAAATTAATGTTGGTCACTCTGAATGAAGTTCTTCGACGCAGGCTAGGGCACAAGAGGTTTTCAACTCTTTATCCACACTTTATTCAACAACATATAGTACCAGGAGCCTATCATCCGGAGAGAGCAACTTCCATGCGCTCGTGTCAGGGCGTTTTCACGGACCAGTTTATTTTTAGAACGGTTTGGGGGCGAGTTTCTAGTTGAATATCTTTTAAGTCCCACAAACCAGTCAGCAAAACCTACAGACCTAAAAATGATATTTTTTGCCTTTTAATAACGTTTAGTTTTCCTTTTTTATATTTTATACTTCGAATGCGCTCATAGACTTGGTGGAGATTCTATTTTCGCGGGTAAAAGTGCCCTAAAATGTGTCTAAAAATAAACTGGTCCGTAAAAACGGCGTGACAGGTGCCTAGTATGGGAGTTGCTCGCTCCGGGTTATGGGCTGCTGATAGTACAAAGAAGTAACAAAACACAGTGTTGAAAAGGGAAAGAATCCTAAATATGCACTGCAGCACCGTCACCACCGGAGGAAACCCCAAACTACCTGAAGCCCTCAAACATGTACAAAACAAATTCAAAAGTTAGCTTGAAATCTAGAAGCCTTTGCCCTATTTAACCAAATCCGCAACAGAGGATGTTTCTCTGATATCACGGGGGAGACTATTCCATTCTGCAACTATTCTGTTCATGAAACTAAATTGAAATAAATTAGTCCTTGAATAGCAGGCCACAAGACTTGGAGTATTCATACTTCTCAGTACACATCCCCTATGAACATCCTCAGAAAGCTAACTCCTGCTCCCGTCAATAAACAACTTTTGCAAACTCTTATTCAATTTGGCGCAGACGAATACTTGTTGTAACGAATAATCAATAATTTTCAAGAGCTTTTTAGGGGTTTTCGCAAGCAAACAGTTTATATGTCAACATTGAATTTACAGGTTGCTTTCTTACGACATCCTCCCAACATGGGAATTGTAGTTCCTGTTGTCATGGCAACGCAAATGGCCGGCGTGTTGGTATTTTACTCTCCTGATCTCGGTTACAATTTGGGTAAAGTTACAGGGGTGGACCCATTGCAGTCGGCCTATGCTGCAATAGCTGGTTCCTTTCTTTCATTAGTGCTGCTCCCTTTGAACAGAAGGTAGGCGTTGTATCTGTTGTGATAAGAGACGACCACAAGTACGAAATTTTCTCAATTCTAAGCAGTGCGCCCGCGAATCAGCGTCATTATGGCGGGAAAACGTCATAGCCGTCGTCATTCTACTGCAAGTTTAAGCGATAATAGACAGCTTTGGATTTGAGGACGAGAACGAGTACGAGTACGAGATTTAACTTTAATTTTTTGCGCGTGTTCTTAAAAAAAAGACCCCCCGGAATGCTTCATTTTACTTTTTTTCACCTAAAAATTTAGTACGGTTATTTATACTGAAGAGGTTAAGCCCTCTCCCGATAGCAAAATGATAAACCTTCTTACATTTGAAAACTTGGGGCCGCCAGTACGACATTCTCGCTAAAACTTTTAGTACAATGACGACGGCTATCACGTTTTCCCGCCAAAATGACGCTGGTTCACGCATGAGCAATACTCAGTATTATTAGGGAGCTTTAATAGGGAGCTTAACCAAAGACGTTTTTGAGCGACGCACGTCAACCGGAAGTGAGGCCTTCTCCCTCTTTATATGCCTTGGCGCTAACAAATTTGTTTTGCTAGGTGTCTTTTCTCTTAAAAAGTCGATTTACCTGAGAGTTTCAACCAAACCACCTCGCAATGATTCAAAAAGTCCGCTTCCGGTTGACGTCCGTCGCTCAAAAATCGTCCTCGTCTCAGAATCTAAAGCTCTCTAATGTCTTCTTGGCGGAAACATGTTAGAAGTTTTATCATTTTGCGACTCTAGAGAGGGCGCAATCTCCTTCAACAAAAGTAACAGAGCTAACGTTTCTGGTGAAAAAAAAGTACAATGAAGCTTTTCGGGGAGTCTATTTTTTGAGAAGACGCAAAAAATGTTTAAGTCAGATCTCGTCTTCGTAGTCGTCCTTGTCCTCGAATCTAAAGGATGTTACAGGGGAAGATTCGCAACGACGATTTTTAGCGTAACACAGCGTTACAATTTTGGAACAGTGTTGTAACTTTTCGAAACAATGTTGAAACGCTGTGTTGCGCTGAAAATCGTCGTGTAACATCACCTCAAGGTCCTTAATGTGTTGTTTTAGCTGATCTGGTATTGTTAAGTTGAGTTCTCTTTTGAGTAGCCGCTTGGTCCAAAGTCACGCAACGCTCCCCGTTAGCATTTAGTCATTAGTGAACTTACGCAACAGGACGGGAGAGGAAAGAAGACGGCAAACCTTGTGTGACAAGCGTGACAATAATTTAGTTTGAAATAACTTTTCGCCAAACTTCACTTTTCTTTAGACACATCTTTTCGTGAAAGACCAGAAAACATTAATGTAAGTGAGGGTCACGACAAAACACGCAAGTAATAGCCCTGTCGCGTTTGTCGCACACAAGCGTTTCGTCGTCCTCTTCACTTTCTGTCGTCCTGTTGCGTTAACTCATATTTTAGGCCCAAGCGTCTGCGAAAGAGACTGTGTGCAAGGAGTTCATTTGGTAATTATTTTACTCAATCACAGTAAAAGTAGACAATTTAGTGAACCAATCTGAAGCTAACACATAAAGCCTGCGCAAACCGCGGGGAAATACATATGACAAAGTCGCGATTGGCTTTCCTTCTTCTTTTGAGTGGTTGAAAAAAATTACAGCGAATTTTTAGCCAAAATAAGACGATGTATAAATAGCATTTAATTACAGTGGAATCCGGTTAATACGGACACGAGGTGTTGTTCTTTAAACACGACAATCGGATCCACGACTTTTCTTGGTTAGGTACTGACAGTTTTAGTTTGCGACTCAGCCAGGTGGACAGAACCTTTAAAAGGTCATTCGCCGTTCCTGTCAGGTTTTTTCTAGTAAGACATTCAGTCGTGGACAGTGCTTAGATAAACAGTGTCTGTGTAGTGGGGCTGACGATATGTGGGAGTTTGTGACTCGGGATATGGCACTATCGGGCTATCGTTGTGCGTTTTAACCGGTGTCCGTAATTAGGGGGTTGATTTAAGAGAAAATGAATGAGCTGTTGGTCGAGACAAACGAAATTGTCCGTTACATACGGGTGTTCGTATTAAGTGAGTGTCTGTAGAGCAGGGTTCCAACGTATCTAAGACTGATTTCATTTCTGTCTTTCCTTTATCAAGGTATTCTCGTGATACGGACTCTGGTGATGTGAACTCGAGAAACCATCACATGCTTAAGTGTGGAGCGTTAATTCTGTTTTCTGTTCTCTTGGGAGCCATGGCTGCTATGAACTTCTCTCTTGCTTTCTTTGTGGCTGTGTTTCATGTTCCTGTGTACTTATTCGTCACTCCTACCCCTAGTAGGTAAGTTGGACGGGCCTTTTCTTCCTTAGTTCGGATCATTATACGTCTCTGGGAAACTGCCCACCTACCCCTCCCCTAAGCCAACAGTAACGCGTACTTCTCAGTTAGGGGTTAATGTTGGCTTAGGGGAGGGGTAGATGGGCAGCGAGAACAGGCGGACACCTCTAGACAGTTTAGGGAGCTTAAGCAACGACGACGGCGACGTCAACGAGAACGGCAAAAATGCAATAGGTTTAATTAGCAAAACAACAACTTTGCACGTGCATCATGCTTTTTTGTACATTTCTTTGCCGTCATTGCACGAATACGACGTGAAAATGCCTAATTTCACGTTTTGTAGAGGACGTGAACACAATACAACGACTTTCTTTTTCTTTTCCTGTACTTCGATACAGTCTTTTAGAATTCAGCCCCGGAAAAAAACTGCCAACATTTGGCGAATTGAACGCGAAGGAATAATTATAAGCGCGACAAAGTTTGAAGCAGTGCGACTTTACTTTTTAAGTGACGTAAGCCCGCTGTAATAAAGTAATCTTTATTCATTATAACAATCTAATTAGATGTAAGAGCCTACTGTGCACTCCTAGTACTTAATGGCTCTGCATCTCAATCTTATTTTCTGTGTTTGCAGAACTCGTCGCCTCCTGCAAGCTCTTCTGCTACCCCTGGTATCTCCACCAATGGTTCTCTTGCTGCTGTTACTAGGATACAATACACTCACGGCAGGGATCGACACCGATTTCGCCTCTGTACTATCAGCCACTCTCATCACATTCCATCAAGCCGTGACCTCATCAATCCGAGAAGCCCACTTGTTAGGCACGTGGTCATACGCTATGACCTGTCTCGGTGTTTTGCCAAACTGGCTCATGTTTTGGTGTTTAGCGTGGTATTGAGTACTTGGAAAAGACACTTTAGACATTTTATCAAATTGTGTTTTATTTTTTTGAAGATTGCGATGGTTTCGTGATCAGTGCGTTACAATAAGGTCGCTTATAGCACTTGTAATTGCGTGTAGCTAACCGGTCAAGTTGCCCGATATTTTGTCAGGTGTACCACACAGAAAAATAGAGTTCACTAAAGAGTGTGTAATATATCTCGTTCTTTAAACCACCAGGAGACCACAGAAGCGGGATGTTGTTTAGTATGATAAAATTTTGGGCGACTTAACTCTGATTACGGGCGACATAACATTGGGAGAGATGACTTTCGGGTGACTTGAACGCCTAATTGCGTTCTTACCGTCGTGTTATTTCTCAGACTAAAACATTTACTCTTTTATCTTTTTCAACTCCTTGGTTGTTAAACGGAGACTGCAGGCCAATGTTGAAAAGGCAGCCTGTCTAGCAAGTTGCCTTTTGTACGCTTAAGTTCGCCGGCGCTTCATCTTTCATAATCCAGGAGCTAAAGAAATATTACATCCAAGACGATAAGTTTGAAAAGCAAAAGAACTCTGCATATGCGTTGCATGTCTTTGTACAGTCTCTTCGCCGTCACTGCGCGAATACGACGTAAAATTCTGAAATGCCAGTTTTGGGTGCGGTCTATAGAATTGTACCTCGTTTACCTGTGCAACTGGTTTACCAGGAACCGTGCAATTTGGAACAGCTTGCAGTACTGTTTACACGAGTCCGACTTATCGAAGGCGCGTAACTAGGCTTCAGGCTTTTTCCGTGCAAACTGTGCAAACACTTTCCCGGTTCATGTGTTTACACGACTGGATATCATTTTCTGATCAGGTCAGGAAACGTTGCGGGATTCCGCAGGTCCCGTGTAAACGAAAGGCGTATCTGTGCAAGTTTTTCTCCATTCAGAAATTTGTCCTGACGCGTATAAACTAAAACGGTGTCTCGGTTTCAGGAAATTCAGCTACATTTAGCATATTTATTTGAAATAACCGCGAAGGACTGAGGTCTAAAGAATGCGGAATCATTTTACTAATCGCGCTGTATTTGTTTCTAAACCTTCCTGTTATAAGAAATGAGAAAGACTCGTCTGTGGACCATCGCTTATTCAGAGGGATAACTTTTTTCTTACTTGCTTTACGATGCAACATGCTAAATTTGAACTTTAAACATCATTTAGCGGTTCTGTTTATAACAGTATAAGTTTTAGATAGGTTTCTTTAATTTCTTGGTGACGTGTTTATAAGCAACAACAGCATAAACTACACAAATTCTGAGGTATCTTTTTATGTAAGGATCGGAATAACAAGACAAACGTGGTGCTACTGCCGTGCTAAGCTGGCTCGACTGTAGCTCGACCGACTGCAGCACGACAATAGCATGACTTGGAATTTAATTCAATCGAATAGAACGGCTGTTGCCGTAAACAAAACACATAAATAAAGAAAGGGTTTAGCAAACTTTTAAATGTATCCTAATGTATTTATAATTTATGAATTGTGTGCGGCACGGCAGTAGCACGACGTTTGAAATGGGCCTAAGGTAGCTAGGAATAAAGTATAATACTTTGCTATGGCTTGTTCTTCTTTCCAGTCAAAGTTGTCAAGTAAAATTTTCATTTTTACTTCTTATTGTCCAGCAAGTTTTCTTTCCTAAGTCTTTTCATGACTCACGAAAATTATCACTTTCTCATCTATACTACCAGGAAGTTTTGAAGGTAAAACTTGCTAAGATCAGTTTGCTAGTGGAACCTAAAGAAAAATGGCATGTTTGTTAAACGATTTTGTCTAAACGTAAGAGCTGTATGCTGACCCAATACGATTTTTTTGTTTGTATGAACAATTCACTACAAAAGTTTTAACTTACAAAATAATTAATTAATTATAAGTCAATTACGTTTTTCAGTTGTCTCCTTTCTAGTGGAAAAGTTTGAACCTACAGATGACAACAATGCGATTCACTTGGGTAGACCGACATGTCATCGAAAATGCTTGAACGAAAAGGTCTATAAATGATTCTTAAAGTTGTCTTGTCGACGATAACCGAAAAGTTTTCCATTATAGCACTATTGTTTTGTTTTAACTGAAGCTTCATGGTAAGAAAAAAATCTCACCTCGCGAGTTCATCTAAAGACTCACACTTCGTCTCGCATCACTAGGACATAGTTCTTTACAAAACAAAGGTTTTTGTGCTAGACTCATGAATTCAAGTCGGGTTGCCCGTGGATAATTCTTCGTTTTTTATTATACACGCGCGAGAGGTCGGGAATTATGCGAGCATGATCAAGAGTTTTTGATATAAGAGTAATGATGAAATATTAGTTTCTTAACGCCGGTTATCCGGTCTTTTAACCTGAAACACAAGAGCAAACCAAAAACGATCTCTCTGACGTGAGAAATTCAAAGGCACGTCCTCAACTGAACGGGCAGATTATGGAGGAAAACATTAAGAAAAAAATCACACTTTTCTTTTTGCTTTACCCATGGAATCTCCCATAGATCTAGCTCCTTTTATCTGAACAAATCATGATAGGCTTCGAATTGAAACAAAGAATAAAGATGATCTATCAACTACGGTTCAGTTCAAGTAATGAAAGTGCTTTGCATTGAGTTGTTCTAAAAAGTGTCTCATCACTTTTGTTGAAATATCTCACCTTTTATCGCGTCGCTTACTTCGTTTATAATTAGAAGTGGGTTTTGTTCGGGGCAAAATGAGACGCTTCGGGCCAGAAATGTGATAAGGCATGCCATCTTTTAATAACTGCCGTCGCTTTTTGAAATGTTTCGAGGGAATAGCGTGAAAGTTAAACCCCATTTACACGCGCTAATAGAATCGGCACGGCAAGCCAATTTTTTGACACCGTGTTGACGATTTTAAGGCACAGCACTCCCAATTTTGTCGTGCCCCTTTTTTAGCACGTGTAAATGGGGTTTTAGTTTTTCAGTGGACTTTATTTTCCCTAGAGATGCGAAGGAGCAAACCACGCGAATTGAAGCACAAAATATCGCCTCGCGCGAGAAAGCTTTGACATACTGGGGGCAACATTCCACTCACTCAAGTTTTACGCGTAAAATATTAAAGGAACTATTTCTGACAACTGTTTAAAAGTATTTTCGGCAAAGGGCTAGTGGCGAAGAAGAGGCCTTGAACTTAAAAACGTCGCGGCCGCGTCTTTCGAATTTGATAGTTATTTAGCCTGTTCTAGGCTCTCAGATAGTGGGGAAGACGCACTGAAGTGAGATGCACGCGAAAAGTTGGTCCTCCCGTTTTTTTTTATTTTTATTTTTTTTTATCATGTTTGCGCTTTCTTAATTCAGCAGATCCGACTATCTCGGAGCCTGGAACAGGCTAATAGTTATTAGGAAAAAAATTGTTCGAAAAAGCATAATTTATTTTGGTCTGCTCATATCTAGCTATATCTCGGAGAATAAACTGATTCATGTGTTTAACTGTTTTAAAATAAATAATATGACTGCACATAAAAAGTGAATCTCGCAGCACTTTCGTTAAAAAAATTCTTTTTATATAACATTACTTGACAGGACACATTTCTGATTGGAAACAAATCCTCTGTTAAAATCCTCGTTTTAAAAACAGAGTTAATTTCAAGCAATTACTTTTGATTAAGTAGCTAAACACAGTTTAAATAGCTCCAGAATTTTTTAAGCACACTCAACTGATCATTTCGCTTTTGACTTGACGATATTGACGTGATTGCTTTGTTTTGCAGTTTATTGTGAGAAAAAGTCTCACCTCTAGAAGGAGGATAAGAAACTCGCACCTTGTCTCGCGTGGGCAATTTTTAAATAAAAGAACTGGCTATCTTTTGTTGTAGCGTTTAATTAGTGAATGCAAATGTTTATGCCTTTTGTAAAGCTTAGAGTTTATAACGGGCACGCTTACACTAGCGCTTTCACTTGACGGTTCAACTTGCAAAGATCGAGTATTACACTAGCGTTCATCATGAAGTTTTACACGTTGCTGTCACTATGCGTTTTGGTTTTGGCCCTTGCTCAACAAGTATCCAGCAGTAGGTAAGGGGGATGTTCTACTTTAGTTACCCAGAAGTGTGACTCGGCAAACAAGCGTGTAAGGGTACGTTTTCGACAGAGCTTTGTGAATTACGGGGGACAATTCTTGTACCTGAAATTTGGTGGGGAAGTTGCGTACGCAACGGATTTTGTTGTGGCATACGTGCTAGATTATTTTCTGAAATATGTGCGCAGATGTGTTTACAAATCCAATAGTAAGGTGTTTAAAACAATTCGCAAACTTTGATACTGATACCAGTAAAACTGAAGCGCGAAAACGAGTACATGTCTCTTATTTATTCTTGATGTACGCTGCGTATTGCTTGTGACATAATGCGTATCTTTCAAAAATTTCGTTGTCGTTGACAGTTTCGCAAATCATCTGTCAGAGGATTAAGATTTCTTGTGTCATTCTGATTTCTAGCAGATGTTTTAGACTTTTTACGCAAATCGAGTCCCTGAGATGTGTTCCAAAGAGTTTAAGTTATAGATATTGAGTCAGAAATCAACCATTTCACACGTAGATGTGTTCTCTGATTTTGCTTCCAAAGAGCGGATATGGCGTGAAGCTTTTTTCGTTCTTAGGTTTTACGATTGGTAGAACCGTGAATCTGGCGCGTGAACAAGAAGAATTTTTGGCGAAATTTTGGCGCTTTTTACACGTAATTTGGGAAGCAATGATCACGTTTTTAAGAATTATGCAAAGGAGGGAAAAGTGTCCTGTTACTTGCTCCGTGTTTCACTTTATGAAGGACAAAATGGGTATCATCAAAGTTAGAGTTCTTTGAAATTTGTTTTAGTCTTTATCAGCGTAGTGACCTGTAACTTAATTTGTTTCAGATCCAGTGGCCTGGACAGTACTCTTCGACAAAAGGTAAGTTTGTAAATATATGATTTTGAACTCCTAAGACATCTGATCAAGAACTTTCCTCTTCAGCTGAATTTTGTTTTTGAACAGCACTGCCTGATATTGACTGTAATCTCGCTTTACACTGGTTTCAGTATGTCCAATTCACTATGTTCGAGTTCGTTAGCTACATACTAGGCTAGATGGACAGAGGTGTTATTCAAAATAGTTTGCGGAAAGCCTAATGTTTAGCGAACCGGTGTTGCGAACTGGGATGTAGCGAATTCACTTGTGTCTCGTTGGTCGATAGATTTTAATACGTTATCACCCTTTGAAGTCGAGTTAGTACTATTACTTCGCATAGTTTAGTTATATTGGAACGAGGAATATTCATGCCGTATCAGTGTTTTTCGTGTTCACGCGCTAAATATAATTCAAGTTATCGAAGTTGCTTATGACTTTCTTCGAGTAAATTATTATTACATATAAAACAAATCTCTTCAGTTATTACATTACATTATTAGATTATATCATTTACTAATTATTACCTTGTAAATTTGTTTTTTTTAGAATTATCCCTTGTTACTGAGCATTGTGAGACAAGGAGGACGCCGTGGGTTGACGGAATGTCGACGACAATTTAAGACAGAGATTTGGAATTGTTCCCTTGGAAACAAGAGAGTGTATGCACAGTTGCCCATCTTCGTTAACACAGCACTTCCTTATGGTAACTTTATGTTTTATCGTTGTAGTGCGTAAAAATGATGCTTAATTTAGGACAAAAGAGGCGCAATTTGGTTCGCAACAAAAACTTTGAAGTTTGTCTCTTGCATTTGAAGCACCTTTTCACGAGAAAACGGAATTAAGAACAGTCTTTTCTATGACTTTTAAGTCCGAAAAGTTAGTTTTTAAACTGAAGACGTTTATATTTTTTTATGTCAGAATATTGTTGTTTTCCAAAAAGAAACACAAGTCGTTTCATTTCTAATGTTTACCCGGTGTCTCAGGAGATGTATGCGCAAATGGACATAATCTCATAAGCAACCAATCTTTTGGTGAGCTGGCTACTTAAGATCTTGAGCCTAGCTACCGCGTATCTTTTGAAGAGGTGGCTCTTTAAATTAGGCGAAGCAGTTGAAAAAGTTTAAAAGTGCGGGTTCTTTTTGTTTTCAATTGGTTGAATTGTTTATTATATCCATTAGAAATGAATGGTAATTCTTGCGATCTGTTTGCTCTCATCAATGTGACTTATTCATGAATCGCCAAAATTTTTAAAAATGTTGATACTTACTAAAATTCTGTATCCAGTGAGGGATTTCAAAATGTTGTAGTGAAAGTTGCGTCTTATTCATTATTGGTCTAAAATCATACTGTACTTTGATTCCCAATCGAACCTTCTGCGCGCTCGTTCGGTTTTGAAATCACGGGTATAGTTTCAGACCAAATTGTACTTCACTTAATTACATTATCATTATGCACATTTCTTTAATTACAGCCACGAAAGAAACAGCTTTCCTTCACGCCATCAGCAGCGCTGCAATCACCCACGAGATAACGCTCCAATGTGCGCGGAACAAAATTCCTGGCTGCAGATGCGGGAAAACGAAATCAAGGAAGCGGGGAAATGCTGACTGGCAGTGGGGCGGATGCAGCGACAACATCAAATACGGCGAGAAAGAGACAAGACGCTTCATCGACAAACTAGAGAAAGGAAACGACGCACGTACAGCGTTCAACCTGCATAATAATCATTTGGGAAGAAAGGTAAGCTGGTAACTTGAAATTAGCTAATAAAAAGTTTAGCGACGATTGCTGGGAAAAAGTGTTAAATTTTCAGTTTCCTTTCCAAGAATCCGTAGGCGGCTATAAGTTAATGAGGAGTTTGGTGCATAAAAAAATGGCACATAACTGGTGATCCTTGCGATCTGTTTGCTCTCATCAATTTGATTTATTCACGAATCGTCAAAATTTTTGCTCGAAATCGCTTCATTTCTATTTGAGATGAAATGCGATAAAAAGTGTCCTGTTTATTTTCAAACCGGCTAGTGGTTCCAAAACAAAAAAATCATGCTGTATAACTTAGTTTGCGGAACTGATGGTTTTCGCGCGTTTTGTCTCAACAGGTTGTTCGCGCAAGTCTCCAGAGGAACTGTAAATGCCATGGCGTTACCGGAAGTTGTAACTTGAAGACATGCTGGAAGCAGCTTGCCCCGTTTGAGGTCGTAGGATCAGCTCTAAAGCAGAAATATCGCGCGGCAGCCCAAGTGACGTTCCTAAACAACAAACTTCAAGAGCGAGACAACCGCAACCGATACAGTCAGGTGACAAGAAAAGACCTCAAGCTGGTTTATCTTGACTCGTCCCCAGACTACTGCGTTCGAAACATGACCGTTGGCTCTCCTGGAATGCTGCGAAGGACATGTAGAAGTGACATTTTGTCCAATGGACAATGCCGATCGCTTTGCAATTCTTGTAACCTAAGGCACCGCACAGAGGAACATTCCAAACAGGTTAAGTGCAGATGTAAGTTTGTATGGTGCTGTACCGTTAAATGTAAGCTTTGCACTGAAAAGTATTCCCTCACAACTTGTGTTTAGTCATTTTGAACCAAAAAATTTTTCTCTCACAAGTTGTACTTAGTTTTTAGTTTTTAATATGTGATGTAATGACTGATAAGTTTTCCATCAACTTAACTTGCACATAAATTCACAGTTACCGTTAAATTCGACTTTTGATTAGAGCAATGAAGCGACAAGATCATGTTTGTAATGACAGTTTTCTTTCAAAAGTTTGCAACTGGCACCAAGTTGTATAAGTTAAATAAGTTGGTTTTTGTAACAATAAAATGTATATATTACAAACTATTATTGTAGACTATGTGCCTTTGCTTGTGGGTAATTGATTGGTTCTTTTCGCGCTGTAGTCCCCGTATTCCGCAGCCTCCAATGCGCCTGAGGGGTACTCCCTTATATAAGCTATATAGGTATGTACCGCCCCACCGGGTAGGGTTTTTGCGCCGTTTTGGTCTGAAAACGGGTATAGATTTTGCCCATTTTGGTCTGGAATCGGGTATGGTTTGCGAGGGAAATATAATATGGGAGTCAATGAACGTATTCATCGTTTCAATTCCAAATGAGAAAGAAAGAAAGAAAGAAAGAAAGAAAGAAAGAAAGAAAGAAAGAAAGAAAGAAAGAGAAATATGCGAATTCGAAGTGGATTTTAAGAATTTTTTTTGTTTTTCGCTAAGTAATGAAAACATAATTTCTGCCTAAAGGACAGGTCTGAAAACGGGTGTGAAAAATGACATTTTTGGTCTGAAATAGGGTCAAGATGTGGACAACTGCGCGGCACACCCCCACCAAGAATTCTCAGGAGTATCCCCAGTAATTTGGTGAAAGAAACGAGGAGTGTTTTTTCTAAGATAAATGGCAAAAGTTTCCAATTGTTATTTTGCCTTTACCGAAGGTAAACTTTCTTTCATTGAAATAGAGACTTTTAATTCCACGACTTGCTTCCAGTCAGTTAAAAAACTGAATGTTTGTAAGCAGAAAACTTAACGTCCAAAAATGAAATAGAAACAAATTAGCCAGCGAGCATAGCTCTCCGGGGCGCTCTGGCGGCGGGGCTGGAAAAGGAGGGAGAGCTTGCAGCTACGTCTCTGAAATTTGAATATCTGCATTGAAAAAGTCGATGCTAATTGACGGAGATGACATTAGCAATGACGTCATCACCCGTGGCGCGTGCTTTCAGGTGTTTTTTAAATGTTTGTTTACATTCGCGCTCGTTTCCGCTTCGCGCCGATTGACAAAAATCTGACAGCTTAGTCGACGGGGAGCCACAGTTGAATTGGAGGCGGAATTCAAATTCCAGGGACGTAGTTGCAAGCTCTGCTTCCTTTTCCCGCCCCCCCACCAGATTGCTCGCAGGCTAGCATTAAAGGGACTAGCTGTGTGACCGCTGTCTAGTTCATATTTGAATATTATTTGCCAATTGCGCTTCCCTATTCGGTCCCTATGTACCATGGAACTTAACGTTAACGATGAAATCACCTACACACGACAAAAAATGTTTTGAGAGATTATTTTCATATTTCACTCAATATGATGACATTTCTTCAGTGTTACAATAAGTAATAAAATTCGTGACGCAGCACCATTACAATGCCCTCAACTTGGATATTTGAATACTTGAACCTGTAAAAAAAATTTTCTTCGCTCTTGGAATATTGCTTCTTTTATTTACTCGCAAAAGATGTTTTAAATAAAAAAAGATTTGAACTCTATTCCGTAATATTCTAAAAAGTTCTGATGAAAAGCCGTGATTCTTCTCAACTTTAACTGGAACTCAATCGTGCATTCAGATCTCTTGTGTTTCTAAGGTTGAGGGGCTACGACTATCTGCTACGTAACTCGTTCCTATAACCTCATAAGGGCAAGGAACGCAAGGCTCCTCGCGCGAGCGGTGCCCCATACGTAAGAAAATTTGGTAATCCTTCCATCCGAGAAATTTTGGTAATCACGTGACCGTACGCCCAGTCGTCCGTCCTTCCGCCCGCGTCACCGGCATACCAATGTTAAATAACTCAGTTAACAGGTATGACACCAAGAGAAACTCGAGGTGTTTTTGGTGGGAAATCGCATTGCTACCCGGACATTTGGAGAGAAAAAACATAAACAAAGTGGAGTCTTTATCGACGTAATTTTTTATGTCTGTTCTCATGTGGATAACAGAGAAAGAGCTAGAGCTTAAAAAGTGATTTAAAAAACAGAGGACACGAGTTTCGTTGGAAGGAAAACATTAAAATTTCCATGAGCTGTATTTCGGATTTCAGAGCCTAGGATTCCGGATTCCAAAAGAAAATTTCCCAAATTCCGGAGTCAATTAGCAAAGATTTCCCCGATTCCGGAATCCAGATTCCTTTGCATGGGTCGATATTTGGTTAAAAAAAATGTATTTAAAAACAAATTAGGGGAGACTCGAAATAACGTTTCTGAGTATTCTTATTTCGGAATACGATAAATGAACGCAGCCTTATTGAAGAGGTCCTTTACTAAACACATTTTTGTACTTTACCATTCTCATTTGCAATACAAACAACTACATCATAAACATTGCAAAATTGCAATTTATCATTTTGACTGCGACACATCCGGGAGTATGCAGACGTAATAACTATATTTGTGAGTCCCGGATTTTAAGGTGATGTTACACGAGACGATTCTCAACAACGATTTTTAGCGCAACATAGCATTACAACATTGTTGCGACGTTGTCTCGAACAGCTGCAACATTGTTCCAGCATTGCAGTGCTGTTTTGCGCTAAAAATCGTCGTTGCCAATCGTCCCGTGTAACATCATCTTTAAGATTTAGGTTAATTTGTATGCTTGCAGGTGGCCTAGCTGTAAATTGCAGGCTAAATTCATTGTTTATGTGATTTGGTAAATTTATCTCCCCGTGAAATATCATTATCAGCGGCTCAAAAAGATTGGCGAATAAGTTCAAGGCTATTCCATAATGAAATAAACCTTGTATTTAAAAGAAAAGAAGCCATGAAAATTAAAAACTAATGTAAGTAAGAGCTATTCCAGCTTCTTTGTTTTAAATCGATAAATCTCTTACATTGTATATGGCTCACTTAAAAAGAAACAACACGTGAAGTTGAATCCATTTTTTCTTTAAATTATTTGAATTATTAAGAAACAAATTACTTCAGTTTTAAAAGTTTCTACAAGCAAAAAAAACGTTTTGAGAGAAAGATCAATAGGTTCGTTGATTTGAGCTATGGGCAACCGAACTTAAGAGTAAAGATTAACTTCAAGTAACTGCATGAATAATGCTGTAGAAGAGAAGTTTATAAATAAATTATTGTTTTCCCGCTAATCTCCCGCTGAGGGGAAAAGCATTTGGTTTCATATAATGGGGAGATTAAAATATTTGTTTAAATTTGCACCTGTTTAAGATTAACCCGGTATAAGCTTTGACAAATTCAGTCAATTTTTGTCAAATATGCACTTGGCCTTTTGGAAATTACACCTTTTATTGCATTTTGGACATGAGTCGAAGTAAAAATCCTGCTAAAATTATTCTCAACAATGCGAAAACGTACGTAGAGCTATTTGAAGCGATTTGATTTGCCTTGAAGTACGCTCTAAATAACCTTTCTTCGGTTTAATGGATTTATTTAAATGGCAATTGCGTGGGATAGCTAGGCGACGGGAGACAAAAAAAAGTTACACATTGTTGAAAACGATTTTCGCCTGTCGGTATTCTGGTGAAAGCAAGATTTTAACACAGAAAAGAGCGCACATTCTTTTGGTATAGCCATCTCACACAGTTAAATAACAGGAAATATGAAGTCGATTTTACAGCAACATATCTACGGTGCTTATAAATTCCTGAGAAATGTGTCGGACGATGAAGAAAGTGAACAAGAAGAGGAAGAAAAGGAGAGTAATCATGCTATTTCGTTGATTGAAGAAGACGACATAACCAAAACGAGTAATTTGCAGACATTCTGGAATATCTTCAACGCAAACCAAGGAGTAGCCATCTTGGCTATGCCATATGTTGTCAAAAGCGGCGGGTACTTTGCTCTTTTTGGAATTGTGGCCCTGGCGTTTGTTTCCAATTTCACCAATAAAATTCTTGTGCAGTGCCTCTACGAATACTCCCCGGATCTGACCTCGTTTCGCGTCCGAAACAGCTATGTGGAAATCGGGGAAGCATTCTCGCCGAAGATTGGCCGCCACCTGGTGAACGCAGCGCAGATTTTCGAACAGGTCTCCTACTGCACTCTTTTGCTCATTCTATGCGGATCCATCTTGGCTTCAACGTTCCCTTTCGTCCCACTGTACCAAAGCCATTGGACAGCGCTTGGAGCGATGTTGCTATTGCCAAACATATTTCTGAAGTCTCTTAACGAAGTATCATGGGTCAGTTTCCTCACAGTGCTGATCGGTGAGATCATTTACTTAACGGTCACAATATACGCTATCATGCATCACGAGCGCTGGAATTTCGCCTCCATGCCCGACTTCAAGTTGAAGACGTTCGGCGCCGCAGCTGGCATCATCGTCGTGAGTTACTCGTCACAGCCTTACATGCCGGCCATCGAAGGGAGCATGAAGGAGCCACAGAAATTCACAAACGTAATGAGTGTAACGTACGTGGCAGTTACATTTGTAAAAGTTGCATTTGGATTCATCGGCTATCTCACCTTTACCGAAGACACAGATCAGGTCATCACCAACAATCTACCGGACGGGGGACTTCACATGTGTGTTAACCTTCTCGTTTTACTTCTTGCCGCTACATCTTACACTATCCCAGTCTACACAGTTTTCGATATTCTAGAAAACATCGAGTTCCCTTTCTGCAAGATAGACAACCCCAAAGAGACAAAAGACAAGATTTCCTACGCCCAAGCGCTTGCCGCCCGACTCTGCATAGTTTCTTTCACGCTGTTTGTAGGGGTATTAATTCCTCATTTTGGGCTTTACATGGCTCTAGTTGGTAGTTTTACCGGTATGTGTTTAGCGTTTATTTTCCCCGCTATTTTTCATATGAAGATATGTTATGATAGATTGCAATGGTATGATTTTGTTATTGACACGGCTGTTGCATTGTTTGGGCTTGTAGGCGCAATTATAGGTTGCCACTTTTCAGTTTTGGCTCTCATAGCAGAGTACCAGAAACATGAACTTTGACGGAACTGTGTTCAGAGTTTTTCCTTAACTTATCCAATCAGAAAGAAATTGTCGGCTAGTTATAAAGGGGTATATAACATATTTTTGACAAAACAGTAGCAAGTGCCCACTGGAAACAACTTTGCTGGTGAAAATGAGCCTAAACAAACCTCTTGCTAATTTTACTTCGTTAAGAACGATTTAACCGAAAGGTTAATTTGGTAAAATATTGGAAATGATTTATAATTTATGAAATCGTGTTGGCCTTTTTCTGTTTTTGTTTGTTTGTTTGTTTCTTTTTTTGCTCCTAGACTTCTTTCGTCTCCTGTATAAATCTCTCCAAAAAGAACTTAGAAAACATTGCAGCAAAGATAATGAGAGAAGTTCTCGATCTTAAAAGACAAAACAAATGCAAGCTTTGCTGTTTTGTTTATTGACCACAGATATGCAAAGGCTTTGCTTGCTGTGGCATTACTGAAAAAACCCTGCCCTTCTTAAGCACACCGCGCGTTAATAATGCAACATTTCAAAGGATTAATTTTGTTAAGCTGAAATTTATTTGAATTTCCTTAAACATTTTTAAAAAGAATAAATACGTAATAGATATCAATATCGGCGCTTATTTATTGTTTTTAAGTATACAGAAAGAATAATATTTTTTATATTGAACTCAACTTATCGCTGCATGACTTTCCACGGGTTTTACTCTCAAATTTGTTAATTTCTTTACTTAATTATCCAAGATACTGGTTTTTAAGTATACTGCACAGTCCTTTTTGAAAGTTTTTTTTATTCGATAGCTATCGCAGGCAGTATCGTTTGAATAGGGTTTATTTGTGATTACATTGTGTTCGAATACTAGAAATGAAGGAAGGGAGAGAGCTTCATCATTAAAAGTTCATTTTATATCTTACTGTATTTGAATGGCAATCAACTAGTAATAACCATAGGTTACAAAGTGCGGGTGACAACGATCGAAGGTCAAAACGCTTTTGCTCCGACGCTGTGCTTTGCGCAAGTTTCACGTGATAGTCGGTCAAAACACGCGTGATCAGATCACGAGTGATAGAAGATCCAATCGCGAGTGATCAAATTGCGTTCTGTACATTCCATTCATTCTTAGTGCAAGTCCAAACGAATGCCGGCTACAGACATGCGACGCATGCTTAATAACAGCCTGGAGATTAAGATTGCGGGCTCCTCTTGTCGCCCGCAATTAACGTGTGGGACTGGAAAGTTAAATAGTAAAATTCTATGAAATGCATTTAATTGATCAGGCTTTTTCCACTGAGTATGCATTTTTCGTTTTGTCCATATTTAAACTCTCTAGTACTCTGATGCCCGTTTTGGATTAAGAGTTTTATATAAACTTCTTTTAAACTTCAGAAATTAGGATATTTCTGATGCAGGAGTGTTAATGGAATCGTTCTTTGCGTTCTGCTTCCGAAATAAGTGGCATCGAACGCACTTTACCATTTTTTTGTATATCAGTAGTCAATTCGGAATTTGCAAAAGAAGAACCAAAGCACAACCGTTTTAAAGATTTTGAGACTAGAGGGAGGAAGTTTTCAAATTTCAATCCCTCATGAGAATCTACTTGCGGTGGACTGAGTGTTTAAGAAATTCTTTAAGACTAAACGGGCCATCTTGCTCAATTACCACATTTGGTTAAAAGACAAGCGACGGTCAAGCGTTTTGTTTTCAGTGCACCTTGCTAGTGGTATTAAGAGGGTCTGGATGGGGTTAAGTGACAACTGACAAATGGCCAAAATTTCAACTGACAACTGACGAAGGACCTGATTGTCCCTCAGTCTCTTGGTTTGCGGTCTATAGAATGTGTAACGAAATTGTAACGCGATCAAAATAACCCATTTTTCAGAGGTTTTCGACGGGTTTTGATGTTCTAACGACAAACACATCTCCTCTGGACCCTGTGTTTTTTGGGGTAATCTTAGCAGCAAGACACTTAAGTGTCATATTTCGTTAATGATTTACTGTAAAACCCATGTCATGTAACCATCTGTGGTAAAAATGACCCATGATCTCAAATTTAAGCTCCTCTGAGAACGCGCCAGCATACGATGGCTGCTAATGAGGGCGTTAAAAGCAATTGCAAGTCTTTTCCGAGATGATTCAGATACTGTCTTTCTTTCGATCTATGTCCCAATAATATATTCTGAAGGTATAAATTTTGATTGGCATAATGGTTGGAAACGTTGGACTCTGGGCCAGTAAAAACGTTGCAGTGGAGGGGAGTAACGTAAGACTTGAGAAATGGAGGGCCACTTGAAATGTTAACAATAGCAAAACTGAGAAAAATTAATGTACTATTGCATCACTTTTGGAATTTAATCATTAAGTTTAATTACATTACATGTGTCTTTAAAGGTAAATTTCGCATCAAAAATATACAAATAAGTTTCATAGTTAATCATTAATAATAATTTCACTGACAACTCACAAAAAGCCTTAAATTTAACTGACAACTGACAAATGGCCAAAATTTTAACTGACAACTGACATTTGTATCCCCTCATCGAGACCCTCTATTAACGAGGGTGTGTGCTTCTTGGCGAAGAGCCACTGCGCGTATGGCTATGAAAATCTCTCTTAAATTGACTCATCTCCATTCTTCTCACTTACGTAAATGAAGCAGTCTCGCAAGATTAACAAGTTGAGCATGTGCGACCTGACCTGACTAATTAGATCCAATTTTTATTTTTTAGGCATTCTTAGTTTTTACTTTGTAAATTCTTGCCAATTTGTTATTCTTATCGTATCTTCATTATTTGTAATACGCATATCAATATATTTGTATGGTATATGCGCAATATGTTTCATTTTTATTGTTCTTTAGTATTTACCAAATCAGTGAATAGCACTTTTCGTGCGTTTTGATTGGCTCCCGCAACTCGGAAGATCCTTGGCTATTCACTGTTCTGCGACCGGAGCCAAGATGGCGTCTCGCTTCGAGGCATTTGGGGAAGACGAAATTTAACCGATAAATGAAGCAGTCTTTATAAACAAATACCAAGAAAGCGACTATCTTAGGCTTGTCAGTGTTTACTGGTAGGTAGAAAATTATTTTCATGCTGAATTTGCGACAAAATCGTAAAAATGCACTGTACACTGTACTTTTTCTCATTTTTATTCGGCTGATTTGGTAAATACTAAAACAACTTCCACTTCGGGGATAGTTGTATATTATGGGCACGTCCAGGGATATTTAATTGAGTATACTTTTACACTATATTTATCCCAGATTGGGGTATCTTGAGAGATCTAATGAGTATTGTGGCTAACTTTCTCGTAGTAGGATCATTTTCGCTGTACACAGTAAAAGCAATAACTAATGAAATCTATGAGCTCTCATAAAACTGAAAGTCAATTATTTAATACCTATTCTAGCTGGGGAAGTTCACTTGATAACAACTCATCACATGGTCCGTTCGAGAACGATTGGTTGTACAGCGCATTGTTAAGGGGGCTTATATCATGCATCTGCTATCCTGCTTTTTGAAAGCTCAAAGGCGTGTTTACATCTACAAAAAGTTCCAGAAATAATGGTCCAGTTTCGTTATTTGAGACTATATTTGTATTGAAACTGTTCCCTGTCGTCTGTTGCTATGGATAGCAACCAGTTAAACTGGAGTGAAAGATGATAGCACTTGATCCTGTCGCAGGAAAGCGACGCAGTGGGGATTCAGTATGGTGAAGACGATTCCAAATGTACATCGGAAATCCATCTATTTCTTTCGTTGGCCTGCAATGGATTCAAGACAGCAACAACCAAGTTATTATAGGCTCCACTTCTTTGTAAAGGTAGGGTGGGCCCTTAATCCCTTAAATAAACTCTATAGTTATCGTAAACCCTCTATTATTGTTTCAAACACATTTGAGGGAGGGGGGCCTACATAATTTAGCAAAGACGATGGTATCAGTTTTCCATAAAAGAACTATAACTGCAAAGTGTGAAAGGTCAAGTACAATGGTTGTAGGTCATGCAGCCGAGGATCAAAAACAAATCTGAAAGTCCAGCTGCTGAAAAAAACTATCGTGGACCAGTCCACATGAAGTGTTACAGTTGTGATTCATAAATATAGTATCTCATAAATTAGTGAAGAATAATAAGAGGAGGGGAGGGGAAGAGGGGCTTAAAAGAGAAGGGGGGCTTATTAGCGGGGGAGCTTATTTGAGAGAGGGGGGCTTAATAGAGGATTCTTTTGACCTGAAATTGGGTATAGATTCTGGGCCCGAAATCAGGTGAGCCTAAAATTTGTGCTCCCTGGAAAAAAGGCCTGGAATTGTGTATGTTTTTATTCATTTGACTTTTAAAAGAAGCGGTTTAAGTCTCAGAAGGAAAAAAACAGTTTGCCAAATTTTCTTAGAGGAGTACCCCACAGGAGGCGGGAATTTGCTCTGCTCACAATACTCTTTCTTCCTGCAGATGCATTAATTCTTGATACCGTGAATAACTCTTTAACTGAACATGAAAAGAAATGCTTATTAGAGGTCGAACACAAGTGAAGACAGTAATAGTGGTAGACTCTGAAAAGTTGACGGCTTAGAGATGAAATCTCAATAAGCTTGATTTACTAACTGTATTTTTTATATTTTCTTGATTCTTTGTTAACCTATGAATAAAAGACTCAGGTGCGAGAATTCAAATGAAGCTACATCTTCGTTTTCCATTTTGTTTTTTATTACATCAGTTGTACAAACTGTTATTCTGATTCTGTCGATCTGCGGATTAAATGACTACTTTTCTGTCGGATTGTTTGTTTCTCAAATGTATTTTACAGAAAATAAAAGGCTTCCGTTCCAAACAGTCAGGTGCTAGAAATCTAAGATCTAAAGGTTAAAGCTCTTTCATTTCTCAAGTCTACGAACATGTGATCATTTTTATATCTTATCTTACAGAGAGGACCTCACCTTTTATTGGCCAAAATTCATTGTTACGTCATCACCAATCAGCACGAATGGAGCCCAGTGCTTCACGGCCTTGAATTTTTCCGACTCCC